AAAGTATACCCAATATCGAAACTAACTTTGAATTATGGTTCATTGTAAATTTGCTTGAATCCATTAAGTGTTAAATTCAAAGTGTAGAGGAACATGGAAAAATTACAAAATAATAAAAAAACGAGGAAAAGATGACTATTGAAAAAAATTTTAATAAAAATCTCAAAAAAAAGGATATAACCTCTTCATCGGCTCACACGATCGTATCCGAAAAAAGGACAGCTTTCTAATACAATATCAATATAGCCAAAGCAAAGTATATCAATACAATAGCGTGAGGAGCACTCAAAAAAAAAATATTTTTTTTTTTAGAAACAAAATAGAACAGAACATTTTAAGTAATAAATATCGCGTAAAAACGGAAAATAAAATGTAAAGAAAAACCAGAACAAAACATAAAACGAAATCTATAAAGTGAATAGCGAATTCAAATAAACTTTCATGAACGGGACAATTTTCGAGAATGATTCAAAATATTTTCGTAATTAGATTGCCAGATTACAAAATATGAAAACAGCAGCGCATATTGAGGGATTTATAGAGCGCTTACTGACTGCAGTATCGAAGCGCGTTTGATTTGTTCGTTACCAAGGATGGGTCCAAAAATGGATGTGCGCAAGGTAATATTATACTGGATAATTTAAAGAAGTTTATAATTAATAAGGTTGATATTTTAGTATACAATTTAAATAATTTTAGAAAATTAACTTTCATTTAAATAAAAAAGAGAGAGAGAAATAAGCAAAAATCGCATGTTTTGCTGATATTTTCAGCCACGGATTTGCCCGAAATGTATTTGCACAAAGTAAAAATTATATAAATCAGAAAAAAAGTTTTTAGTAAACTTATTTACAACAACATACAATTAACTCAATGATTTTATATAGAATTTAATTACTTTAGTTGGGTATCCATTGTGTTTTTTTTTTATCAAATTTTGAAAGAGTTTGTCGATTTTATTTTTAGTAAATATACATTACTATATATTCTTTTGATTAACTCTGTTCATATGATTAAATATGGTGTTTAAATAGATGTTATTAGAAACATTAGAATTCCAAGTAATTAGTTTATTTATATTAAAATTAAAACCATTCCTTTTGTCGTATAAATCAACAAAGCAGATATTTACTTCTTTTATAATACGAAAATCCAAAAAATTGAAAATAATATTATCATCATGATTACGTCCTTATTTAATAAAACTGTGTAATCTTGAAAATTAAAGATAATTAAATCATCAATAAATCTAAAAACAAATTTAATATTACGAGTATAATTTTTTTTCTCCTTAATAGTGCAAGAATAAGTTAGCTAAGAGAGATGAAAATTAGATCCTTGTGGTATTTGAAGAAAAATATCTTTTCCATTGTAAAGATTATTATTAAAAAGACAAAAATTAATTATAATTTCCCAATAATCAAAATCATAATTAAGGTTATTTTTAGAATCGTAATAATAATTCAAAAGAATATTTTTTACTTTAGAAAGGGGAATGCTATTGAAAAGATCCTGGAAATCAAAAGTCGCAATAGAATAAATTTTATTATGTTTAATAAATTCTAAAATAGTTTGATTATTAGTGATAATCCAAGGAAAACCTTCGTTAATAATATTATTAATACTTTTATTTAAGTAGTTAGGAAAGTATTAGACCCCCTCATGTGATTGTTCTAAAATTTACAGAATTTTATGAAATTTAGGACTGATAATTAAGTAAGGAAATTGTATATTGCTAATTTTAATTTTTAACCTCTCATATAAAACTAAAATTTTTTTAATGGTATTATTATTATTTAAATTACTAAGCTTGGAATTTTTGCTATTTTTCAACTCCATATTGAAAAGTACAACATAGAATTTTTTACAGAAGATTGCATAATTATGCTTAGCTTTGTCTATGGGGATAATTATAAAGATTTTTTGTAGTTTCTTAATTGATTGAACAATTTTTAAAAAATTCGTTGAATTCCTACTGTTATTTAAATTTTCCTCATTATTGAAAACAAAGTTTTTAAAATAATAATAAATAGCCCTTTTCTAATCTGTTAACATACCTAAAAAAAAAGAGAATCTATTTGATATCTTCAAACAAAAACTATTAAGATCATTAAGTATTTTAGAATTTTATTAATTGATGTATGGTAAATAGGTCTAAATTTTGTGTCTTTTATCATTAAATTCCTAAGTTCTACGTTTTCTATAATATTTAAATTACCAATAATAATATGTTTATCAACGAAATCAAAATATTTCTCTCCTTCACATACTTTCATAATCGGATAAATTAATCCTCCCTAAATTTTTGCTAATATTATTATAATTTAATATAGCTCAACCAAGAGATTCATTATATTTAAAGCTTTTAATTATGTTAAAATCTTTTGATGGAAATAAAACTTTTAAATTTACAAATATATTATGAAATTTGATCTTATCGAAAATAGGGTTTTAAAAGTTAAATATGAAATATAAATTATCTAAATTTTTCTTTTTAATTGGAACTATTTTACTCATTTTAGCTTTTACAGAATCAAAAGAAAGAATTTGGAAGTGTAAATTAATAGAAGAATAGTTAATAATAAGATCTTGAAGCTTACAGACATCATTATTCTTAAGGGAGAAAACAAAATCTTTCATTTGTTTAATATTATGATGATTATTAAAATCTTTTTCCTTATTAGAAATGAAATTTGTAATTAATTTGTCACTATTAAGAGAGTTTCTATTAGTTCTTGAACCCCGTTTACCTCGATTTGTACGCTTATCTTTAATATGAAAAAGTGAATAAGTTGAGGAGTTATTAAAGTTAATCTGTGTATGTTGGAAGGTATCGTTTTGCCCATACAGCAAAATTGTTTTTTATAAAACCATGTAGTAAGTTTCTTTTTGTTGTCTTAAATTAAAATCGTCTACTATATCTGAAATATAAATTTTGACACTGTTAAAATTATGCTCGCTAAAATGACTCAATTCCAAGTTATTGATAATTTTTTTATTGTTTATATCTGAACGGTGTTGATCAATTCAAATATTAAGAGAGTAACTGGTTTGCGTAACATATTTCATATTACAAAAACCACAGGTTAACATACAAATAACATTTACAAACAAATTTGGAGCTATCGTTATTATGAATTACACGTTTTTTGTCAATATTAGGGCAATCTTTTATTAAAAGACTTCAGGTATTGAATATAATTCAAAAATCTTTTACTTTCAGAGTAGCAGGATGTCGATCCTCTGAATTAGGCTCTTCGTACCGGTTACAACGTGCAGAATAATTTAAATATTGAACATATTTTTAACCAGGGACTAAATTGTTATAGCTGTTTAAATCCATAAAAATAGGCTCAACGTCCCAAACGCACGAAATTGGAAAAACGAAATAAAAACGGAAACAAAAGGAAAACGAGAGTAAGTTATTAGATAATATTAAGCGCTAAAGCTTCATCAAATAGGATCACTAAAACATATCTCAATAAATAAATACAAAAAGGAAAAAAGAGAAAAACTAAGAAAAACAATACGTTTTATTCACTGCGCATAAGCTGCAAGCATGTAAAACTTATAAGTTCAAAATGTAGAGGAAACATAGAAAAATTATAAAATAATGAAAAACGAGATTTTTTTATTAATAAAAATCCGGGGGGAAAAAAGATATTATCTCATCATCAGCTCACATGATTATATCCGCAAAAACGAGTGCTTTCCAATATTGTATCAATGTAGCCATAGGCGAAATATATCAATACAATAGTATGAGGAGCACTAAAAAAAAACATTCTTTTTTTTCTAAACAAAATAGAATAGAACACATTAAGTATTAAATATCAAGATTCAAAGAAAAAGATATATAAAAGCAGAAAATAAAATGCAACGAAAAAACAGAACAAAACATGAAACGAAATCCATACAGCGAGTAGAGAATTCAAATAAATTTACATCAACGGGACAATTTTCAGAAATTATTTAAAATATTTTCGTAATAAGATTGCCAGATATGAAAACCAAAGCGCATATTGAAATTAAAGTGCGAATAGAGAGATTTTTATTTTAAATAATTTTCTTCTCTTTTTTTTTTTTTCTTTTCTTTTTGTATATTGCGCTGTACATGCATATATATAGAGAGATAGATATAATTATTATGAGAAAATATAAATATAGATTCTTTTTCAGGTCAAAACAGACATAAATTAACAACATTGACACATTAAACAACATTGAAGCAACAAACGACATTAGGTTAAACATAGAATAACGAACTGATATTGATTTCACGACAAGTTCAAGTTCAATGTCTGCTGCAGGAGACTTTTATAAAACATTGAAAATAATTTTATTCCCATTTTACAGGAATAAAATTAGCAGTTTAATTTTTTATTCTGTTGAATTACATTAATGACACACTTAATTCTGATGACTTTGTTGAATTACATTAATGCTACACTTAATACTGAGTTTGACTACTTTTATACTGTTTCTTGCTTTAATGTCTAAAGTAAAAATATTTTTTTTTGTAACTACATTATTTTTATTCTGTTAAGATACAGTGCTGTCTACCACGCATTTTATTCTTTACTATACTCTGTTCCATGTTTCATATTTACTCACTCTAGTTTCAGTGTTTTCTCCATACTACAGTCAACAACAAAACTACATTCAAACCTCGAAGGTTTCTGCTATCATATATTAACATCAGTAACAACACTCCGTTCTTTCTGGCAATTTAAACGAAGTTATAACAGCATCAAAAATTTTTACATTATACTACAGTTAAACTACGTTCATTCTTACAGTATTTAATATGGACCATAATATGCCTTAAATTACTTTCAGCAGCAAAACTTCGTTCATTAGAAACGAAGTCTCAACTGTGCTGTGAAGAAAAACAAAACAAAAAAAAGGATGTTATTAATTACAGTGTACTGTCAAAAGCAAAACTACTTACGCTATACTTAACTTACTTTATTTAATGCTGTTGAATTCTTTTGTTTCAGGCATTGTTTCTACTGGTGACCGTGTACTTCGCCGAAACAGCTGTCATATCCAGGCGAAGCACCACAGCTGGAATCTATGGAAGAGTGGTGCCCATTCCTGCCGGTACCAAAGCCCACTACAATATCCAGAACTTTGCCGGTCCGGGCACCTACAAATTTGGCTATGATACCGGATCCGGTCCCAATCAGTCTTTTCGTCAGGAAGAGAGAGGTGCGGATGGAAAAGTGAAAGGACGCTACGGCTATGTCGAACCATCCGGTGCACTGAGGGTTGTAGAATACATGGCCGATGCTTCAGGTTTTCACATCATTAAGACCAGGACAATGGTGCCGGACATGAAACCCAAGCCAGCGGTGAAAGTCCGGACACCTTTCGTGGGACCCTTACCTCCCTTCATTCCGACAAGTTACGTCGTCAACTTAGCCGGTTAGTCAGCATAAACAGTCAGCATAGATCCCGGTGTATACGACATATATCTGCTGTTGTCTAATCTTTGGTTCAAATCCAAATGTTTGTCTGTGATATTTCTTTTACTATACTTTGACTGTAAATATAAAGTGCAGTGTAAAGGGAACTCTGCTGCATGCTTTCATTTAATGAGGCAACTATTTATTCTCTTAGGGACAATTCTTATGTGTCATCGGCCTCTGTATTGTGCCATAACATTTTTCTTTAAAAACAATAATTCCAGTCACGCATCCATTTACTTGTACAAAAAATTTTACATGATTATTGTGTACAAAATATTTTGTTTATCGTGTTTTATTTTAGCAATATTTCATAGTTCATCATTTTGGCTTTGAATTCTGTAAATAAACAACGATGAATTTTTGAAAAGAAAAAGGAGTATTTCATTACATGTGTATTATGTGACTTGCTGTGTTTGGGGTTATCGAAATTTGAATATTACAATATACAGTAAAGAAATATTAATTTATTATTGAAATTTTGATACATTAATTGATTTTTCCAATTCATCTAAACAACATTAGTTAATTTAGTCAAACTTTTATTAGTAAAGTGAAACTTAACAACATTCACGATAACATCGCGTTCGATAATTATCCTCATGCTTTCGATATTTTCGCATTCTTATATATCGTTTCTATAAAGATCATTATATCGTCTTTGTGATAACTATCGTTATCGATACTATTCAGGATATTATGTCAGAATGCATTCCGACATTTCATGTTCGGAATATATCGTTGTCGATACTGATCACGATATAATTGAATTAGAAAATGATATGATATTCGATATATATTGTAAAGCACTGTAATGAAATGAGAATACTTTTTTTAAATATTGGTTTCATGATGTCTAAGTAATATCGATATTTTACTATAAATCGTTATATCGCCACGCAGTAGTGATTTATCAAAAATTTTTACATAATTAAAGAAGAAAAAAAATCTGGAAGACGAACTCACTTCATAAAGAAGTAACTTGTTCTTGAAATGGATCACTTTAACTATTTTTTATTTTACTTTATAACTGTCGATGAACAGCTCACAGAATTTTTGAGTTTATGACTACTACTGTTCAACGCCGTAGCTTTGCTTTGAACCCAATCCAGAAAACAAAGGAACTCCTGGAACAAGTATTGGGAGAAATTTGCTTTCGTGGAGGACTCTTTGATGGAACTAACCCGCATTTGCGTTACATGTAGAGAAAGAGCACGGGAACCTCTCACGGTTAGCCTGACGGCAAAGGGACTATAACGCATGATCCGTCTACCCCTGAGGATATTTTATGTCAGCACTGTGGTAGGTGCAAGCCGTATGCGGAATTCGTATCGACCAGACATCGCTGGGATTTGAATCCGGTCCACCTCAATGGATGGCGAACGCTCTATCTTAACCATTTAAAACCATTAATTAAGGTACTTTTTTGAGTATTTCTATAAAATGAGGTTAATTTGATGTTTAAACAACGTTAAAAAATTGCTCTCGCCTAAAACAAGGCGTGACATCAAAGCAGCGGTTATTTCCAAATTTTTTAAGGAACACTTAAGGATTGTTATTTTTAATCACTTTTCTGATTTTCTTAAATCTCTTAAAACAAATAATGGAATTGCCGAAGGATAATCACTTTCTGTTCTTATGGTATAGAATTTCTAAAAAATAGAAAGAAAATATTTTGAAAGAAGAGAAACAAAGCAGATTACATTTTTTGCGTCATTGTTACTAAACTATTTGGTCTTAATAAAATGTTATTTTTTAAATATGATTTGACTTGCATAAGGTTTCTGTATTTTTGCAAAATTGAAAGAAGTGATAAGAGGAAATTGATTTAGAAATTATCAGCAACATTCTCACCATTAAATTTTAATCGTGAATATTTACGTTAAATAAAATTAAATAAATCAAAATCACTTTATTTAATTGAATATAGATAATAGCTGGAAATAAGTATAAGTATCAATATCTCTCTCTGTTTAAATGTGTAGTGAATTCATTTTTTTTTCTTTAGAATTCTTTCCGTTGATGCTATTATCAGTACTTCAACAGATTAGAAAATTTAATGTATGTCTGCGCAAGAAAATATTTTCTTTTTTTTTTTCTTTTGAAAAAAAGTAAAATACATAATTATTACAATGGGGTAAACTGCAATGAAACCATGTTCTATCAATTGATATATTTCAACGCTCTTACGAAGCTTTGCATGATCTATAGAGTATATAAAAAAATTTTAGCTGAAATACCAAAATCAATATTCTAATTGACATCTGCTTCATTAGACGGTTTTTAAAGAGTTTTATGTAATGAATCGTATGTTTCGTATTTTAATTAAGAAATTTTGTATTTGAATTTTAATTTTTGAACTGATTTTTATCTTGAATAAACTCGCAGATGAATATATTCAATTGCAAATTTATAATTTTACGATACTAAAGTTTTTCTTTCACATTATAGCATGAATGGCACAATAAAACTTTTAAATTTTAAAACACTGAGTACTTAACAAAATCTCATTTACACTACTAGGTAGTCAGTGGATTTAAAAGTTTTATTTATTTATTGTTAAATTTATTAATACGCGGTTTCAATAGAAGCAGATCACTATTAATATCCTTTAACATTGTTTTTTATAATAAAATCCCCCTACCATTACTTCAACAACAAAAAAAAAAAAAAAATCATGGTGGCTTCGCTCACTAAGCTCAACAATTGCTTCTCATTCATTATTCTTATTTGTTTCTTAAATGTTAATAAAAAAATTATTTTGTTAATTAAATACGTATTTGTTACTATTTTGTGTAAGCATATTGCCTAATGTGTTAATTGCTACAAAGTAAAATCCTACCTGGATTCAGAAAACTTTCAACAGTACTTAAATATACTGAGCGTACTGAATGAATGACGAACTGAAGTAATAAATCAGGAATAATTTTACTTGTCAACACTATATAATCCTCACTTTATCTCTTATAACAATTTGCCTCGTAATGAATTTTGTTCTCTCTTCAATTTTCACATTTTTTTAAAATTTCGATAAAATGTTAAGATTTATATCTAGCAACATCTAATCTCTCTCTCTATCCATTTTTTTTATTTCTCCTTTTTTTTTTTTTACTTTTGTAAGAGAAATAAATGTTTTTACAACTTAAAATTGCTTTTACAACTTAAAATTGCTATACATTTCGAACAAATTGGAACCTACTCTCATTAATTTTATAATTCAATAATTGGCCTTATCAGTATGTCCTCTCCTTCGACAATTGAGTTTCGGTCGAGAGGAAAAAGGATTCTTAATCATCAACTTTTCCGCATTGGAAGTTCTAATTATTTATTAACTACTCTTTGACACTATGCATGTAATTATGTATGAAAAACAAAAGTTCAAATTTTTATCAAATATATATATATATATTCGATATGAGGAAGCCATTTTATGGGCTTTTTATAAAAACCAACTAGACGCTTCTTGCTTTTTTAATGTTTTTGTTTTTCGTCTTCAATTCAGTTAACTTATTTCTTTTCCCGAATTCCACCTTAGAAAAGAAACATAAGTTAAAATATTTTAGGTATTGTTGTTTGAGGCTTAATTATGAACTGACCGTGACTTTAAAAAAAATTAAAAAAAAAAAAAAAAGAAGGATTTGTTTTGTATCACGCATCACTCTAATTATTCTAATTGAATAAGATGGCTTCCTCACAATTTAAGAATCGTTTATAATTTCGGCTTTTCTAAAAGGAATTTTATTTCATTTTCGGATAATTTAAGACAGATTTTTTTTCTTTTTTTGCATCACACGGATTAAACGATATAAAATTATTGTGAAACATCCCAGTAATCGTTTCAAGCTCTAGTTTCTTTCTTTCTTCTTTTTTTTCTTTTTTCTTAAGAAAGGAAAAAAAAATGGAGGTTCTTTAATACTTGATAAACCTTTCAAACGCATTCATTTTCTTCGCTATTTTTATTTTAAACAGTATTTTATAACCTGTACTAGAGTTCAGCGGGAAAAAAAAGGGGGGGGGGAGACCTCGTTTTTACATATTAAAACTAGAGTGTAATCTCCGTTTTCTCCTTGATTTCCAAACTGTCGGGATAAAATATTTATAGTTAGGTGACTGAAGATATATCCAGAAAACAGTACGCGGGGTGAACTCCCCTCCCAAATCTTACTTTTACTTAATCCCAGCATTGTTATATGTTGTTATAGGTACCTATGAAACACTCATAGACAATTCGATGTCTAAAATTAATAATAAATTATTAATTTATTTTACAACCATAGTGATGATGAATGATGATTAAATGGAGGATTTGTAAATTCCATTAGAGATAAATAAAAGGCGATAGAGATAAAAAGTTTGTTGCCTTGTGTTTAGGAAGCAAGTGTTACTTATTATTAAAAATTTCCGAAATATTAATTGAGGAATCAATAGGGAGTAATCACTAATTCAGACTGATTTATGATGAGACAACATAAAAAAAAATGAAAAAAAAAATGAAATTGTTTTGACGGAATATTCCTGCTGAGCTAATAAGAATTTCTATTAAACCATTCGTCGAAAGGTATTGCTGTACCATTATGGACCATCACGAATTTAACGATCATAAACAACCATCATCCCGATGTAGGAATTCGGACTGATTTATGATGGACCAACATTAGAAATAACGAAATTGTTTTGACGGAATATTCCTGCTGAACCTACAAGAATTACCACTAAACCATCATAGAAAGGTATTGCTGTACCATTATGGACTATCACGAATTTCCATCATAGTATCTTAAAAATATAATGTTGGAACGATCATGAACAACCATCATCCCGATGTAGGAATTCGAACTGATTTATGATGATCCAACATAAAAAATAAAAAAAACCTAATTGGGAATTTTGATGGAATATTCCTGCTGAACCAACATGAATTCCCATCAAACCATCATGGAAATGTATAGTTGGCACCATCGCGGATCACCATGATCCATGTCAATCAAACTCCTCTCGATGGTTAACCAATTAAAGTAGTATTTTCCATCATGGAACGATGGAAGTTTGTTGGCATATCAAAAACTATGAATGCATAATAGAAAATGTTGGATGACGGTGACCATCCAATGAAGTTGGACCATCATGAATTGTACTGAA